CATCATTTCAATCTAACTCTTCCCTGAAGAATTTTAAGCCTTATTATTATTATTTTTTTAAATTGTTGAATGGGAATTTAATGTGCTCTGTGAACACAAACCACAATAAAATGGTCGCTCCCCACCCCTTCAAGAAAAAAAAAAGAATGATTTAGTCTGAAAGTCAAATCTCATGTTTCTGGTGTTTAAGGTAATATTTTGGCAAACAATCTAAACTTAAATCCTTTTGTGCATGTCAAGAAATTTTCTATGTCTATAACTTCCTTCATCTAAACACTTTGTTTTAAGCTCTCTAAGTATTCCTCCTCTTAACTTCCACTTTGAACTAAATTAAATTCAATATTTTATGTACACTCACTTATATATTTCCCATCAGCATGCAGTGTGTATGTGATGCAGCACATCACATTTCAAAGGATCAGTTGTCATATGTGAGTGTAGTGGTGACTTTGTGAACAGGGCAGGTCATAAGAATGAAATAGAAGTAGGTCCAAACGGCACTTTTGGCATCCTCAAGAGACTCAAATCAAACTTCTTTTAAATGTTCTTTTTGTTTTGGAAATAAATAGAAGTCTAAAAGGGCAAGGTCAGGGCTGTAGATTGGTAAGACTGAACAGGGAAATTCTCGTAGGGCAGCCCTTGCTACCCTCAAAGAGTGAACAGGTGCATTCTTGTGAGGGAAAACAAAATTCCTCGGTGCTACTTCCCTGGCCTTTTTCTCATTAATACAGTTTTTCAAAGTTTTTCTTAAAACGTTGTCCTAGTCAGTCTCCATAAGGAAAGAAAAAAGCAGGTGGGGCTATGTCTGACCTCTTCCAGCTCCCAAGGTCAACTGCCATAAGGCAGAGGTCAGGCATACCTCCGCCCGCCATGCATTATTTTGACATAAGCTGTCCCACCACTGGCACTACTTTTCTGGCTGGGTTCCATAATTCATTGCAATAGCCACACAGAACTCACGGGTGATGCTCACTATTGTGGGGTTTATTAGGGAAGTTAACAGGTTATAAGTCAGGTGAGAAATACCCAGGATACATTTGTTCAGTCAGGAAACTGTCTTCTTTGTAGTTCCTGCAGGCAGGCCTCTCTGTTCCTCAGCCTCTTGGTCTGGCCTCTGCCCTGCTCATGCAGTGTTACACAGCATTTTTAGGGTTGCCAAGCACTACTCAAAGGACGTGTCACTCTACTGTAAGCTTCAGCCAGGAAGGCACTCAATTCCAGCTCTGTGGGTCAGCTAAATCCAGCTCCCCTAATTAAATCCCGGGGTACCCCACTCCACAAGATAGTTTCCTGCCCCAAAGCACTTAACTTTACTTGCTCGGTTTGCTGACAGGTCCACGGCTCAGGCTCCTGGCTCTGCTGCTGTCACTGCTCTCTCCTGGATCAAGGATGTCTACTGTCTGGGGAGCTCAGGACCCAAAGGACATGCTCCACTCCTGGCTCTTCTCTCTTACTGATGGTGAGATCCCCCTCCTGATTCTGCAGTGGCTACTTTTATATCCAGCATAATAGCAATCACAATTGTTAACAATCACTCATAGCTGAATCATATAATCCAATCTTCCTTCACCATCTTACCAAGACCCATCAGGAAAATGAAGGTCATTGTGGTGGGAGGCTATGGCTAGAAGAACCCTATAAAATAATTCACACATTGAACCCAATGATTGTCCCGTGTTCTTCAAGAAAATTTACCAAGAGTACCCATTTGGAATTCTAAAGAACAATCAACATAGCCATCTGAGCTGCCCTACCTGAGTTGAACTGGCTTGGCATATCCCCTCCATTGTTTTTAATAGAAACCATTGTTTTGAATAGACTTAGTTATATATTTTTAAGGTACTCAACTCCTTAAGACAGGTACATTACTGGAAGAACTCATCTGTAGCTATCCACAGATTGCAGAAACATTTCAATACATTATGTTTGATATTAAACCCATGTCATATAGGGTCAATGAGTAAGAGTGAGTGACAGATGAACTGGACCCTAGTTGCAATGCTCTTTTATGTATGCCAGTATCAATTTTGTGGGAAAACAAGCAGAAGAAAAGCTTCTCATTCAACAGAGCCCTGCAAAGGATCTGATTCTTTACACAAGTGGTGCACAATGGGACAAGACTGGAAAGATGGAGGGCTGTGGATATCTGGGTTGTCTCTAGCGCTGGGTAAAGATGGGAAGAGTACATGTCAGACTCTATACTTCTCTAGGCACTTGAATAACCACTCATCAGTCTATTGTTTGTACTGTGGTGGCTTGCAATAATGCTTGAAGCTATGCCACTGTAATTTTAAAGCCTGGTCATCCATGGTGGAAGGTTTTAGTGGCACTCCTAGACTAAGACAGACTAGAAAGAAGTACCCAGTGAACTGCTTTCAAAATGTAGCCAATGAAAATTGCGAGGATCACAACAGAATATTGTCTGTCTGATACATAGTGCCTGAAAGATGAGCCTCTTGGTGTGGAAGGTGCTCAAAGTGCACAGTGCTTATAACAGTAGAATCCTACATATTAATGACTGTGAAGATAGCCAACGACAAGGCAACATTTTGTTCCATTGTACATGGGACTGCCGTAATTTGGGCCAACTGGACAGCAGCTAAGAACAAAGGTACTCGAGAGAAGGTGGCAAAATCTGGTGTGCCTGTGAAGGTCTGGGTAAGCTCCCTGAAAGAGCCCGAAGTATACATAATCTGAAATACCTGGCTTGACAAGAGGAAAGGCTTTTCAGGTAGAGGCAAACAACAGTGTGTACCTCAGCATGATGGGATGGACATCCTCTTAAAGTCACATTGATACAGGCCAGATGTTAAAGGCTTGGCTGAATCAGTGACTCTCACGATAGTTTTCTGGAGATTTTTGAACCAGAAGCCAAGGGATTTGTTGTAGAGTCACATAAACCCCCCATATATCTCATCTCCTTGTACCTCAAAGGATTGTATTAGTATAGCAAGAGGGACAGGGTCAGACGTGAGTGGTAAAATAGAAAACAATCTGCTTTGTCCATTGCCCTCCTTTGTAGCACTTAACAGATCTGCAGCAGTAAGTGCCAATATTTTTAAAATTTATGAAAGAATATCTTAAATTGAGAGACTGTTCATAAACTTTGAGTGTACGGAGAACTGGGAAACATCATCATTATTTTAGTGGATAGTATACCTAGGTCCAGAAAGAAAACATGACAGATTCAGCCAACAAGGGTCCTTTGAGAAGCCTTGTAAAAGGTAATACAAGGTGGCTATTAATTAGTTTTATTATTCTTAAAACAATTTTGTTATTCTTTTTGTTGAAAAGATCGCACTATTAATAAAAATGTATTGTACCAAACATTATCCTGTTTTTTTTATTGTCATAACTGAATTCCTAATTATTTATGATTTATTTAAAATAATTTTATTGGGGGCTCATACAACTCATCACAATCCATACATCCATCCATTGTGTCAAGCACATTTGTACATTTGTTGCCCTCATCAGTCTCAAAACATTTGCTTTCCAGTATCAGCACGTTTTTAAAAAATTTATTTTATTTTTTTGGTATCAGCACGTTTTAACCCACAAATAATCTATTATCATTGAGTCAATTCGGATCCATGCAACCCCAAGAGCTTCAAAGTAGAACTGCATTCCATGGAATTCTCACAGCTGTGATCGTTCAGAAGCTCCTTCCATGAAGCAGCTGGACACATTTGAATTGCAGTCCTTTGTTACAGTGGACACCATGTACACTTGTAAAAGGTCTGCAAAATTACCATTACCATATTTCCCAAGACTAACACAATGAAAATGACACTTGAGGAAGTTGAACTCTGAATTTACCTTAAAAGGTGAGTATTCCTCTTAGCGTACACTATTTCTTGCATATTACTCCTTTTCCCCAGCTATGTGCAATACCAATGCTGTTCCTCCCCGAATCTTCACATGGCCCTGTTACTTTAACTAGAAGTGACTTCTTTTTCTTGATATTTCCCATAGCATTTTAAAACTTTTTCTCATACTACTTTCTTTAATTATTATAAATAATAATGTCCAAATCTTACATGAGCTACTCTTTACCATCCCGCCCCAGATAGGTCTCTGGTCCAGAAACCTGTCCACCAGGCCGAAGGACACCCCAACATGACCGCAGGTCGGTTGGTAGGTACTTCCGGTCTCCTTCAGCCCAGCGCCATCCTCACAATCACGATCTCTCTCCTCCCCATTATCTTTTAATTCCATCTCGGCTAAAAGTTTAGCCTTCTCGTCAGTCTGATTTCTTCCGGCTGGCCTCCCAGCCAGCCCGGTCACGCCCCTTCCCCAGACCACGCCCCTTGACCCCCGGCGGAGGCCTCGTACTTCCGGATCCGGCGGCACGCCGGGGGTTCTGGTGCCGCGATGGCGGCGGGCGGCGGGGACTCGCGGGCTGGGGACGTGGAGGAAGACGCCTCGCAGTTGATCTTTCCCAAAGGTGGGGTGCGGCGCGTGGGTCGGGGCCCCGCTCTGGCCGGCGGCCGGATGGTGGCCGAGGCGGGTACTGGCGCGGAGCTTTTGTGGTTTAGACCCACCCGGATGCTACTCCCCAGCCGCCGGTCCTTGGCCGCAGCGTCGGGCAGTTGGTGCTCCTGGCCGCCTGCCTCCGGCCGGGAGTGCCGGGGAACTCCCCGTGGTCGTGATCGGCTCTTGGCGGCCCGGGGGTACGGGCCGTCGGTCCGTCCGTAGAAGGGTGTCGCACGGTGCAGTCAGTGCCGACTCAAGTCTACTCGTGTACCAGGGGCTTCAGCAAAAGTTGGTGGGCAATTTCTGTTGTCGCATTCATTTTTTAACCATGAACTTTTGGAAGCCCCTCATTTTTGGCCTTTTGAGATTGGCTTCTTTCACCTCGTGGCACAGCTTGCGGGTAGGACTGGAGCTGGAAGAAGTTTGTTGATAATAGTAACGTATTTGAACTTAATCAATGGCTATCTTCTATCAGTCAATGGCTGAATAATATGCCTTTGTAAATATTCACCACATTTGTTGGTCTTGGGTTGTTTCCATCTTTTGGCAATTGTGAATAATGCTGCAGTAGACACTGGTGTACAAGAATCTATTTTTAGGGTCCCTGCTTTCAAGTCTTTGGGAGTATATACTTAAGGGGTAGAATTGCATCATTGCTAAAGTAGATATTGGGCAAACGGAAAGTGCTTCTTAAGTTCATGGAGTTTATTTAAGCTAAGAGAAAAAGGTTATAATGTTTTCATGCAATTATTAACGGTTAGGACAGAAGGAATTAAGGAATGCTATACTTGTGGCCCATGCAAATTATCAACATTTTGGTTCATAATTAAAGAAATATCCTAAATACTTTGCAAAATACTGTAATAGTCAATACACAGTGGCAGGCCTTAGGTGGGTTTAGGAGTGTAGCTTAGAAAACGAAACAAAACTACTCAATTTCTTTGAAATCCTTGAGCAAGAAAAGCATTAAATTTCTCATACTAATTTTACATTGCTGCTTTTATATAATACGTTAACTTAAATCCCAGAGCAAAAGCTAAGGCTTCGCTTTTTTGGTATACAACTGCATGGTAAATTTGGATGACTTTCCTCCAAGTTTCACCTGGGAGTAGCTTTTACATTTTTAGAGGAGGGCAGGCTTCGCACTTTTATGCTCACCAAGTTAATATTTTTGGGGACCTCGGGCATATTCATATTCATTACAGCTGACAGCGTGGACTGGAGCTCCTGCTAAGCTGCCCTGAGAAAAATCTTGACTGCTAGAAGATAGACCAGTGTAAACTATTTACTTAGATTTCTTTCGTTTATTTTGTGCATCAGTTTGTGTAACAATTTCAGTCAGGTTGGTCTCTAATACCATTCTCCCCATCACCATTTCTATGTGGAAAATTAAATCCATTTCATGGATATTTTCAAAACGCTTGTCTAATGTTTCCACTAATATCTGAATTATATCTAAAATGCCAAATTCACTTTCTGAAGAACACACAGAAGACAAAATATTATATTGCGTAATGTCTATAAATCAGTTTTTAAATCTTATTCACAACCCCCCTCTTGGGAAACTATGAACATTTCATTTCTCTTAGATTCCAAATGAAATGTCACTCTGATGATTAGTTGTTGCTGATCTTCACTGTAGGGCTGGTAGGACTTGAAGAGCCGGGGCTTCCTGTGGTTGTTGAAGATGAGGACTGCTTTGATCATGGCAGGGCCTGGCCGACTGGGTGGGCCTAGGGGCCAGGGCAGGCTGTCTATGATCCTCACCCGGGGATCTTGGCAGCATTCCTTCCCCCGTGGTAATAATTTCTTTTGTAAGAGCCAAGACCATACTAGTCTCAAGGAGTTGAAGATGTCAAACTCATCCAAGATGCTATTCTGCTCCATTTTCCCCTACTGCTCCCTTGAGTTTATTCCCTCATGTCCCCGGGTTCTGCAGTTCGCTCACTGCAATGTCACCTAGAAACCCACCAAGGAGACTTTGAGGAAATATGTCACGTGGTAGTGGGTGCTGTTCTGATATCCAAAGGCCAGGCAGAGTGATTTAAATGCAGGCAAGATCTAGGGCCAGAAGCCCCAAATGTCCAAAAGTTACAAGTCGTCTTCTACCAAAATTCAGTCAGGAAATAGAGCTCTGCTTTCTGGGTGAGATGATGTGTGGTAGAACTCTATGGTGGTTCCAGTATATATCCAAGGAAAACAAAAGGGCGTGTGTTGTCACACCCTCTACTAAGGTAGAATAAGGGATGTTTGACCCCAAAGAAACAAAAGGATGTGGTTTGGTTCATACCCTCTTCTAAGGTGGAATCTTAAATATGCCACGAAGGAGATAATGGGTGTGGCTTGGTTCATACCTTAGACTTGGTCCCACCCTTTTCTTATCCATTAGTTGAGAATGTCCCTCAAATGGGACTATAGCTACAGCATATAACGTCTAGAATCATAGTCACATAAGGGATTATGACTAGAAAGACCATATTAACTGACTATAATTCAATTATTTTCTTTTTGTTTGTTTTCATCATTTTATTGGGGTCTCATATAGCTCTTATCACAATCCATACATCTATTGTGCCAAGCACATTTGTACATATGTTACCATCATCATTTTCAAAACATTTTCTATTTGAGCTCTTGGTATCAGTTCCTCATTTTTCCCCTCTCTCTCCCCACCTTCCCTCCCTGATAATTTATAAATTTAATAATAATTTATAAATTATCATTTTTTCATGTCTTACAGTGACTGATGTCTCCCTTCACTCACTTGTCTGTTGCTTGTCCCCACATTTGTGCATATGTTTCCATTATCAGTTTCAAATATTTTCTTTCTATTTGAGCCCTTGGTATTGGCTCCTCTCTCTTTTTTTTTTTTTAACATTTTATCAGGGGCTCATACAACTCTTATCACAATCCATACACCCATCAATTGTGTAAAGCGCATTTGTACTTCATTCTCAAAACATTTTCTCTCC